ATATATATATATATATATATATATATATATATATATTTTTAGCAAAGCTTTTTCTCATTCGTTAAAAGAACTAGTGAAGTACTGAAGCGACTAGCAAGCTTCAAAGTTTAAACTTTTTAATTAAATTGTAAAGGATTTAAAAGCTTTTCAATGGAATCCAGCTTTGGTGGTACGTGGATGATTAAAGTGATAGTTGATTAGTATTCTGGCTCTTAGCATGTACCTACATGTTACTTTGTACTGTGCTGAGGTCTTGAACTAAACATCCTATCCTGGTACTATGTGTAGTGTGTCGCATTGACTCGCAGTAGTAATACTAAATGAAGAAATATATACTTAGTTAAAATTTTCTTCACTTTCGCTTATTTAAAACCACGTGCTATTATAAATATGTATTAAGTATATTATTTGTATGTACTGCGAAAAATTTTCATGGTAATTTTACAAAATATTTATAGACAAAATTTTAAAAATTGACCAAGAAGTTTTTGTTTTTTTTATTTGTTCAAATTTAAGGAAAAAAATTTTTTAATTTTTTTTGTGTGAAATTTGCAGATAATTTAATAAAATAATTTTTGATATTAATTTATTTTAACAATATTTTGTTTGTAATTTTTAAAATAATTTTTAACAGTCTGGGATTGATGACAAAGAATTTATAGCCGATGCATATCACGTTCGCAATTGAGACACGATTAATGTTACATACATCCATGCATTGTAAATAAATATTTATTTTAAAGTTGTGTCTTTAAGCCGTTAAACTCTCTGTTAAATAGAAAATGAAAATAATTGCCAGTTTTCAGGGCTCTGTTGTTGCTATTGTAGTTTTATGCAAATTAATATTTAGAATAACAAGTTTTCCGCTGTGCATATTAATATTCAGCTACTGTCATCAACCATAAAACTATTTTTATCTTTACCTTTTTTTTTTAAGTTATTTAATTAAAACAAATATTAGTTTACTTTTATTTTTTTAAAATTACACTGGGAAAAAATTACTTGCTTCAATAATTTCTCTTTAATTTCGCTGTTTCAAATAGTTAATTATTTTTTAGAAATTTAATTAAATTTAACATCAGAAATTTTATTTTTCTAAGCTAGAAATTCTTTTATTTTTATTTAAAAATTTTAAATAAAATTTTTTTGTTTGAATTCATTCTAAAAAATTTCCCAAATAATTTTACAAAAAAAAAAATTTAATTGCAATTTAAACTAATAAAAAAATTTATTTTAATTGAAAAAAAAAAATGTTTACATTAAAAAATAATTTTATAATTTTTAATCAAGAAAAAAAAATTTTTTCTTTGAGAAAATTTTATTTTTTTTTTATTTAAAGATTTTTTTTTAATAAATTAAATTTATTTTATTTAAAAATAATTAAATAAATTATAAAATTTATAAAATTGCTTAAAAAATAAATTCTTTTCGTGATTTTGTTAGAAAAATTTTGAAGATAAAATTTTCTTTTGAACAAAATAATTATTTTTTCTCTTTATTCTATCATCGTTTGAATCAGCAAGAATTTAGTGCTGATAAACTAGTTTTATGATAAAAAGATAACGTGAGATATCGTTCAGTAGAGCACAAGTTGCAGACGATACTGTAATGAATACAACTTAATAAAAATTACATTTAAATGGAAACTCGAGCTAAAATATTTTACAAGCTTAGGATAATTAGTAAGTCGAGTGAATAAATAATAACAATGAATAAATAAACAATTATGTAATTAACAGAATTATTTTTTGTGGAGAAAGTAGCACGGAGGATTTGTTTGTTTAATGTTTAACTGTGGGTATTTTTGTTGTTGTAGATGGAGACAAAGATGTGGAGGAAGATGGAAATAGAAATACACAGATCGATGAGAGTGCTCAGAAGACACTGGAGCAGTCTCAGCAAACAACGCCAGGTAAATTATAAATTACAAAACACCAAAAAATTTTACTTTTTTTAGTGTTTACTCAAGCAAGCTTATTAATTAGCTGAAACGCTGCAGTTTTTTAATTTCGCTTTGTCATGAGTTGAGAATTTGGGTCGGAAAGTTTAATAATTAAAACGGAAAGAATTTTTAATAATAAATTTCAAAGTTTAAAAAAAAAATTTTTTTTACAAAAATCTCTATGAAATAATTTGCAATTTATTTTTAATATCCAATATGTTTTAAGTCTAAGCTTTTATTAAAATATAATAAAAATTAAGTTGTTCAAATATATACTAAAGATTTAAAAAATGAAAAAGAAAAATTGGAATTAGATTATTGCAATTTTTAAAAATAATATAAAAATTACCGTGACCTGAATTTGAACCTGGAACTTTTGTGTTATAAAATATAAATTCGACCATCCATCTCATGGCTTAGGAATTATATTTTTATAGTATATATTTGTAAATTATATAGTAAGGCTTTTATTCCTTATTTTTTTTATAGTAAGAAAAATATAAATTTGATTTAAGAGATGTCAAAATAAAAAAATAAAATTTATTTTTATTTTTCACAAATTAAATAAAAATTAATTTTTATAATATCGACATTATTCTTGCAAATAAAAAAAATGATAAATTTTTGGAAAATTTCTTAAGAAAATAATTGAAAGTCAATAGTAATTTAAAATTGAAAAAATAAACAAATTTAATACTGAAAATATATTTTTATGAATGATTAATTTATAATTTAATAATAACTAGCAACCTTGCAGTCACTTCGTGACTGCCGTGACTTGTGAAATATGAATAAATGAAATTTTGCTTTATTAAATAATGACTTTTGTTATATTGCACTGTACTTTCTTAAATATTGACGTTTTTAAATATATAAGCTCATTCCGATGTTACTTTCATCACGAGCTTTCATTTGAGTACCCACATGCATTTTTATATATTTTTCATATATACATATATATGATATATATAAATATATGAAAAATTGATGTGGGTATTCAGATGAAAGGTCTCAATCAGTATAATGTCAGAATGAGCTTATATCTTCAAAAATGTCAGTAGTCGACAAGATACAATGTCATTTCTTAATTATTGACATTTTCAAAGATATAAGCTCATCTCGATGTTACTCTTATCAAGAGCTTTCATTCGAGTACCCACATGCATTTTTATATATTTTTCATATATACATATATATATAATATATATAAATATATGAAAAAATTGATGTGGGTACTCAAATGAAAGGTCTCGATGAGTGTAACATCAGGATGAGCTTATATCTTTAAAAATGTCAACATTTCACAAGATACAAGGTAATTTCTTAATTATTGACATTTTTAAAGATATAAGTTCATCCCGATGTTACACTCATCAAGAGCTTTCATTGGAGTACCAACATGCATTTTTGATATATTTTTCATATATTTATATATATATAATATATATAAATATATGAGAAATATATCAAAAGTGCATGTTGGTACTCAAATGAAAGGTCTCGATGAATCTAATGTCTGGATGAGTTTATATCTTTAAGAATCTAAATAGTTTACAAGATACCATGTTATTTCTTAGTTATGCAACCTTGAAAAGGCACAAATTCAAGTCAAGATTTATGCAATGACATTAAATTTCACTTAAAAAACCGATTTTATCATCTGACTATCCCGGACACAAAATTTTTCTATTCTCTTAAATAGAAATTTTATAAATTTTCTAAAAATAATTCATCCAATGAGAGTAAAAAATTTTTCTTTATTGCATCAAAAAAATAATGTATAACAAAAAACTTTCTACTCTGTAAAATTAACCAAAACAATAAACAAATCAATATCATTCTAGATGTCCAGCAACGTTACCTCGTAGAAACAATAACAATGACCACAGTAACAGAGCGCCGCATAGTCCGCGAGATCAGCGAAGACAAAGGTCTGACCCCGGCACCAACCAACAACACCAGCCCATCATCCTCTCCAGCCTCCCAGGAAGATCAAACAGACAAGCCACCCATAACTAATCCACCCTCAGTACCAAACGGCTCTGCAGAAGCTACCTCCAATCCCGAGGCTCCAGAAGACGACAAACCTGAAAATTCCCCAGCCAAAGAAGAAAACCCCCCTGACTCAGAACTAATGCCATTCAAACTCAGCAGCTCATCCCTAGTAACCAACAGCATGAAACCTAACTCAGCCGTGCGGCAGCTGTTCCCAAACCCAAAGTTCATCTCACCTCCTCCCGCGCTCTCCAAAGGGATGTCTCTCTCCAACGACGAGACTGACAGCGACTCTGAAGCTCAGAGGTACCTGGTGACCACCGAGAGTCTCCGACTGTTTGACTCAGTAAAGCGCGCCAAGATGGCCGGGTCCCGGAGCGATTCTTCAGAGAGCGACTCCTCGACCATAAAACGGACCATTGAACGAAATGCTCTCCGGAGGTCGCTGGTCTGCAAGTACGACACCCTGACCAGGAAGAAGAACCTCATGAGCAAGGACGTGAGTCTGGAGGAGCGAATCCGGCAGCTTACTTGCGTAGATCCCGAAGAAGACACCACCTGCGACAGTAATTCAGACTCTTTTTCGGCAGAACAGAACCATCTCGCGATTCAGGGCCAGGATTTGCAGGATCTTCCGGCCCGGACGTCTCCTAATGGCGAGGAGAGACCCCTAGGCAAGGCTAGAGACTGCCCAGAGCACTCTCCGTCTCCCCCTTTGCACCATCATCATCACCACCATCACTATCATCATCATCATCACAACCCTTCGACTTATAAGAAGATCACCGACCTGTTTGGTCAGAAGAAAATTGACAACATGCCTGACCTGGGCCTTGGAGACCGCTCCAGTCCCAAGACCTCAACCTCTAAATTGAACAGCGACCGGAAGCAGTTCCTGGCTAGCTTAGCTCCGCTGTCTTGCGTTGCTAACACCGGAATTGACGGGAATGATTACTACCAGCTGTCTTCAAAGATTTCCAGGGATTCTGTTGGCTACGCCTCGGATTCTTCTTACAGTTTGGAAGACATCGAAGCCGCGCTAAGAGGTGATGAACGGAATGGAAAGACTCCTGGACCACCTGATGTCACTAGAGGAACTCCAACTGGAGTTGGTCCAGATGCTTCCGATGCTACTACTGATGAATTACTGGCTTTTGTGGAGCAGGACAAGTCCAGGACTGAAAGGCTCAAGCGCAGGTATGACACTGAGGACAAAGAGGAGAAAAATGTAGTTGATGAGGATGATGATGAGCTGAATGATTATGGGTTCAATAGGAGGCCCGCTGTTCGTGGGATTAAGCCTCAGTTTGAGTCTAGTGAGATTGTGAGGCAGTTGAGGTACAGAACTATTCCTGCTTCTGTTGATAAGAGGCAGGCTTCTTGGCCGTATTATGATACTGATAATCATCATCTGGAGAAGAGGGTCACGTTTACCTCGACTGCTGCCGCTGCTGCAGTTGGGGTGGGAATTGGTGTTGGGGTTAATGTTGAACCGGATGAAATTAGTCTGGCGAGTTCTAGAGACTCGACGATTAATCGGATTAATACTATGCAGAGACAAATTGATGATATTTATCAGACCATTGCGGAAAGCGCGCTCAGTATTCAGGGTACTTTGGACAGGGGCTCGTATTTGGAAAGCACGCTTCCGAGGGGAGTTTCTTCGAGGATTCCTGGTGTTCCTCCGCCACCTTTGCCGCCTGGGGATTGCCATCGGTATCAGGATGCTAAGGTTGGTTTGGTTTTAGTTGGTGAGATTTGCTTTTTTATTTTTTATATTCATTTTTGATTTTTATATTCAGATTTATTTTTTATATTTAGTTTTATTTTTAGGTGGCTAGAAAAAAAAATTTGGAAAAATATTTCTGAGAAATTTATTTTATAATTTTAAAAATTAACACTTTTTTTTTTTTTAAATTTTAATTTTTAGAATTTTAAAATGAATTTTTTAGAGTTTGTTAAAATTATATTTTTTAAATTTTATTTTAAATTATAATTTTTACAATTTTTTTTTCAAAGCGCCTAATTATTAAAATTTATATTGCATTATAAACTGTTAATTTTTTTTTCCAGTGTAAAATTGTCATATTTTTATAACTTTTTTTAGTTGTTAAATTAATGAGTTCTCAATAATTAGAAGCTTTATAAATATATAAATAGAAGTTACAAAAAAAATATAAGAAATAATTAGTTAATATTAAAACGAGGAATTATATTTACTTTTTAGTTGAAATTGAATTTTACATCTGAATTATTGATTGCGGGCATATATATTTTACCCTATGTTCGTTCTATATAATAGAAATAGCACAATAAAGCTCACTTTGTGGCCTGGTCTGATAAAATAGACTCTCTAATAATCGAGTACTTATAATACGCCATTCAACCTTTTGATCAAGTATAACTATTTTCCACTAGAGAAATTTTAAACTAGAAACCTGTACTGTGTAACTCCCGATTTTTAAATGTATTTTATATAATTTCACTGTAATTTCAAAAGTAAGTTTCATAATTATAAAAAAATTTGAACTTTTAATTATAAATCTTAATTTTGGAATAGCACCAAAAAAAATATTGGTATTTTTAAAAAATCATAAGAAACATTGTTTTTTTAAATTAAATTTTATAAAACTTTTGTCCAAAAAATTTTACCAATATGTCCGCTGTAGTAATAAAAATTTGAACCATTAATTTTGAATATAAAATTTTTGCCCAAGATAACTCAAAAAATGCTCTACCGGGTATAGATCTATATTTTTTTAATTATAATTCTTAATTTATAATTGAGAATTTTTCATTTTTTATTATTCTCTACTCATAGCTGCGCAATATAAAAGAGTCAACTAAGGACTCAACCCAGTTAAATATGTCTACGCGCCAAATGGCAATTTTGTACTTGAAAACTAAATTTTTCTACTTATAAGTACTCTGTACATATATTATTAACCCTATAAATAGCTCTGGCTGTTGGATTTGATTTTCAATAAATAAATAAATAAAAAATGATTTTTTTTCCCAGACGGGAGGAGCCGGACATTTCCAAGAGAACCCAAGAATGCGTATGTCCAACGACATGCCAATGTACAGCACCCTGAGCAAACCACGTCGAGCGGTAGCAATCTCCAACTACCCTTGCGGAGTAGTTCCAATCGAGAGCAGTACCAAGTGCTACCGAACGATGTACTTGGTGCCGTACAACGGCTTATCAGACCCTACGTACCAGAACATCCAGCGGATTCTGCCTCCTCACTCCTCAGCGAGCTACGCGGACCACATCGAGCGGTACCCGTACCCTCGGAACGTAGAAGGCGACGGAAACCAAGTGCCTCGCTACTACCCCCGAGCTGGAACAGCAGGCTCCAGCAGCGGACCTGGAGGATCCTCAGGACACGTCACCCCGGCGATAGTTCCGCCCCCGCCTCTACACCTGCGCCTGCAACCAGAGGACATGGGGTTCAACCCGGGGCCAGGCGTGGGCATGCAGACGATCCTCCAGCACCAGCACATTTCCCAGCTGGCCACCTACAACGTCCAGTCGGTTCCAGCCTACACGGTGATGGCCCCGTCCAGGCCAGGGTACCCCTACCCCGTCCATCCCCGAGGAAGCGTCGAGGGGACCATCCAAGGCCAGCTTCAGTCTCAGTCTCAGTCTCAATCCCAGACCGGCTCGCTGCCCCCGACGATGACCACCAACACAGTGGCCAGCGGCTTCAATGGAAATCATCACCTGGCTTGCACTTCCTCGTCTTCTTCGACTTCCTCGGCCTTGTCTTCGCCCACCAAGACTCCAGCTGGTAGCAACTTGTGCTCCACTGCGGAGAGGGGAGTTCCCGAAGGCGCTGCCAGTGCTCCGGCTCATGATTTTGTCTCCCAGGCCAACAACGTCACGTATGGTCATAACGTGCCTCCGCCTAACACTCAAAATTCTGTCTACTATGCTATGAACGTCTGAATTATTATTTATTTTTTTTTTTTAGTTGTGTAGAATACTCGGGTAAATACTTCCTTCCTATTGTGCGACGATGATGATGATGATTATCGTTGCTATTATGTATTATTTAAATAATCTCTCATGTAATCAACTTTCTATTCTTTAGATTTTATTCTAATCTCTCTCTCTCTCTCTCTCTCTCTCTCTCTCTGGGTTTCTGTCTGGCTGTTGAAAGTTTTGGGCTTCACAGGGGGATTAAATTATTATTGGTAAGACTGTTGTAATTTTTGAGGAGGTACGGCTGATTTTTATGATGGTTAAAAAATAAGAATTTAATCAAATTAAAAAGACATTTTTAGATTAATCATTTTTTTTGATTGAAGAAAAAAATTATTTAATCAAGAATATTATTCTGAGATTTGAGATCATTTTTAATGAAGAATACTATTTTAAAAAATTAAATATTGAATGAAGAAGAAAAAAATTTTTAATTGAGTGAAATTTAATTGAATTAAGAAGAAATTCTTATGTAAAAAATTTTTTTTTATTTATTTAAAAGAAAAATTCTTGCATCAAGAATATTATTTTTAAATATGAGATTATTTTTAATGAAAAATATCGTCGAAGAAAATTGAATATTTAATTAAAAAAATTTTTTAATTAATTAAAGCTTAACTAAATTAAGAAGAAATTCTTATTTAAAAAATTTTTTTATTTATTAAAAAGAAAAATTCTTGAATCAAGAATATGATTTTAAAAAATATGACACCATTTTTAATCAAGATTTAAATTTTAAAGAATTAAATCTTAAGAAGAAAAAATTTTTTATTAAGTAAAATTTAATTAAATTAAGAAGAAATTCTTAATTAAAAAAATTTTTTTGATTAATTTTAAAAAAAAATTCTTAAATCAAGAATATTATTTTAAAATATAAGATTATTTTTAATGATATATACTGTTTTCAAAAATTAAATATTGAATTGAGTAAAAAAATTTTTTAATTATGTAAAATTATTTTTGCTTGATTAAAAAAAAAAAAATTCTTTAATCAATTAAAATTTATTTGAACTAAGGACAATTTAAAAAAATGATCAAATTCTCAAAAATTTTTCTCTAAAATCAAATTAATTTTTAATGTCCAAAAAAGTCCTCTTACTTTAAAATTAAAAAATTTAGACACCAAACTTGATCGCTAAATTTTTCTAAACCCATAAATTTTCAACAGCACAGATCTGTCTCTCGCAACCACTAAATTAAAAGCGAAAAAAGGACGAATAATATTTTTTATAATCGTCAGTGGGAAGTTTGAGCGTAATGTGGGAAAGCGGGTTATCTTCGGCGCACAGACTAGCGGTTGCATGTGTGCATGTGTCCCGGCTCCCTTACCAGCATCACCGCAATAGAATGTTCAGTTGAAATGAGAATCGATACCACCGCAAATGTTTTTAAATTTATAATTGAGTGCCGGGATTTATTGTAAATAATTGTTAACAGGGATTAGATTTTTAGTGTGAGGTCTGGGCTGGAGATCATCACAGAGAAGGGAAACCACCAATACCGTTTATATATCATGCTTTTGTTTTATCGATAATATAATATGTAATATATAACCGGGGAATTAAACCGAGGCTCTGACGTCTAAACTATTGACTTTAGGCATCAGGTTGTAACTTTTTTTATATTGAAAATTTTATATTATATTGTTGATATTATTGTGTGTAAAAAAGTTTCTCTATAAATAGAGTTTTAAATACCAAATCAATAGTTTACCGCAGAATTATTATTATTATTTTTTTTTTCTTTAAGATAATTACTCCAATGCATTATCAGTTTTTTTTTCTAGCTCTAATTGAATGCAATAAAAAATATTGTAAATATTTTTTATAATAGCGCCAAGATTTTTGCCGCTAATTAAATAATAACAGTTTTAATTTTTGATAATGCGGCAAAAATATTGGACCTGTAAAAAATTTTTTGAACAAAATTTTTTCAAAATTTAATTTTATAAAAAAAATTTCTTTTTTTTTTAGGATCAATAATTTCACCGTAATTTTAAAAATAAGATTTATTATTATAAAAAAATGTGAATTTTTTATTACAAATCTTAATTTTTAAATTATTGAGAAAATATTAATTTTTTTGAAAAATTATAAACATTTTTTTTTGTGAAATTAAATTTAGAACAATTTTTATTTAAAAAAATTTTTTTAGGACCAATTTTTTCGCCGTAATAATAAAAATTTGAGCCATTAATTTTGCGTTAAAAATTTTAACTCTTAATTATTAAATATAAGATCAAAAATGTAATTTATTTTAAGCTTCATATTTGTTTTTATTAATTATATATAATTTTTAATTTTTAAAACAAGAACGTATTTTAAAAAAGTTAAAATTTATTTTATAAAAAATTGAGCATTAAAAAATGAAAACTGTAGCCAAAAATTAGTTTTGATAAATAATTTAATTTAAAAACAAATTAATAATTTTACAACCGAATAAATAGCCGTTAATTGCTCATATCAAGTCATGAACACGTTAAGGGTCAGAGATAAAGGTAGCAAAAAAAAAAGCGATCAGAGAGGGGGAGAGTTTGTTCGATAAAAAAAAAAACTCGTTGATATTCAGCACTTGATGCGGAAGTTTTAATGTAATTAACGTACGTAACACTTGCGGGAATCCATATATTTTTGTTGGAATGTATAATAATTAATAATTGATAATAATAATTATTATTATTAATTATTTTGAAATTTAATTAATTACTTATCAATTGACCTACTGATATATAAATATATATAAAATGAATATATGATGAAGAAATAGTTTTTTAGTGCGAAGACTTTTGACTTTACATAATTAATTAATTAATAATTAATAATTAATATTGATACTTAAAAATCTGTATTGATAATTATAATGATATATTTCAATAACAAAACAATAACCAAAGTCGTAGAGCTGTTAGTTGTTGTTGTGATACCTAATGTTTTCATCTATAGAAGCTGTAGATTATTAAGCCAAAATGGTATTATAAACATAAATGATAATTCAAAATTACGCAGATTAGGCGAAAAAAAAAAAATTAAAGCCTTGTTCAGTATTTTCTCGGTATTTAATAAATTGTAATGAGTAATGAGGATGATATTGATGATTGTTCAATTTTTTAATATAAAAATTTAGAATTGTTATTGAATGACATGTTTATCATATTTTGTTTTTTCAATTGTAGAAATTTAGATTTTATGTCAAGGCATTTTCAAACGCCCTCTACTTTTCGCGTACACTCCGTCATTTTGAGTTACACTCTCACCTCGAAATTTATTTTTAAAATTTCTTCTTATTTTTTGGTCATAAAAAATCGGACCAATTTTTTTTTCAATCTTTGAAATGGCAAGGTCCCAAATTCTTTAAAATTATTTACTTGATTCAAGTTAAATTTTTTTCTGTGTATCTCTAGACATATATTTGGCTCTGCAGAGCCAAAAGAGCGTATAAAAAAATTTGTTTTCGTTCCAACTAACCTAAAAATTTTTATAACATTTAGATCTGTAAGAAAAGTGAGTCAAAAATTTTTTTTTATATACGCCTTTTTGGCTTTAAGACAAAAAATAATCTAAAGCCAAAAAGGGCGTATCACGTTTTTTTTTATCATAATTAATTATTAGTCTTAAAAAAAAAAAAAATTATAACACTGGAAAAAATAATGACTTTTCTACTAATTTTATTTGAAGAGAATATGTATTTGATTAAAAGAAACTAAAATATAAATTGAGCCAGGCACTACTATTATCATTATATTTTGCTTCTAAAAGTAAAAAGTAATAAATATATATTGCTTGTAAATCTAAACTTTGAAAAAATAGTTAAATTTTAAAATAAATTCATGAGTTTTTGCCATCATCAAAGCACAGATTTTTGTAATATCGATGGTATTTTTTTGCAACTGTGCCCGACATACAAATATGAATAGAAATGAAAATTTTGTAATAAAGTCAAATACATTTTTCTTCAAACAGAATGTTACTGTTATTTTTTTTTTTTTAATTCAAATCCATATTCTCTATAAATAAAATGAGTTAAAAAGTAATTATTTTTATCGGTGTTACAACTTTTTTTTTTAAGACTAATAATTAATTATGATTAAAAAAAAATGAAGCCCTTTTGGCTCCAAAATTTTTTTGTCTTAGAGCCAAAAGGGGGTACAAAAAAAATTTTTTTATTCATTTTTCTTACAGATCTAAATGTTATAAACATTTTTAGGTTGGTTGGAGGAAAAAAATTTTTTATATACGCCCTTTTAACTTTGCAGAGCATATATTTTTCACATATATATTTTTTCCATGCGGGGGTTGTATCTGATATTATTTAATTTAATTTCAATACTAATTAAATTAGAGAGTGATTTTTTAAAAGTGGAGGAAGCGTTTGAGAATCGCCTTAATGATTAGAGTAGACGTTTAACTTAAAAATTTATGTATCTGTTAAAGCGTAATGCAGTGTAACAAGTAATGAGTTAAATAATAAATGTATGAGTATGAGTAATTGGATTATTACTGTATTAATTGACGTATTAAAATTAAATTGGTAATTAACGTGGGAGTATGACTAGACTACATAACAAATTGTCCTAGAATTTTAAGATGTCTGTGTAATGTCTAGATATATAATATATGTATATGTAATTTATGTAAAAGTTTAATTTTGTTCAATTGTAGAGAATGCGTGGATTATTGTGAAAGATATCTAATAGATTATTTATTATTGAGATATAAAAAAAAATGAATAATGCGAACCGTACTCTCGTACCTATTGAAAAAAAGATCTTTGTTAATATCAATTAATTGTATTTATTTTATTATTGATTATAATTTATTATTAGTTATTATTATTAGGGTTAATCTATTTTTTTATCTGTTACCTCTCGTGGTCATTCCAAAGAATGGTTTTATTTGTTATAATTGTAATTATATATATTTATTTGAAAATTTGTTTTTTTATTTTTATACCTTCATTAATATTTTAATTTAATTGTGTATTTTATTAAATTGGTAATTATTTTTAGCTTTTATGAGAAGAAATATTTTAATAAAATTTCTTCTTTAAAAATAATTAAATTTCTTCTTTAAAAAAATTTTAGCGTCAAAGAAGAAACTTTTAAGCTTGAAAAAAGTAATTAAAATAAAGTTTGCAAGCTTTAATTATTTTTTTTTTTTTATAAAGAAGAAATATGAGCTTAAAATAATAACCAATTTAATTAAAAGTTATTAATAATATTTTTATGAGATTGTTTTATAAGAAACCGGGTGCAGAAAAGGATGCACAAAAGATTTACAGGCCTTTTGCAAACTCGAATTATTGTAATAAATAATTTTAGAAGAAGAAACAAAATTATTAAACAAAAAAAAAACAGTATTTGGGACCCTCCGTAGATTTAAATATTAAGAAATACAGTAGCCGATTTTCAATAGTCAGATTAGAGAAGAATATTAAAATTAAGATATTTAAATATAATAAAAATAAATAAATAAAAGAGAAACATACATTTAATTCTAGGGAATAGATCCGATTAGAAGTAAGGGATTGGTGTTACAAGGTCGTTGATCGTTGATGTAAAAGTGTTACGCGGTGAAAGGTTTTACGCTGCATTTGACATGAAAATACAAATACTAAGAGTGTCAATGGATTTAAAAGATTTTATACTTCTCAAGATGTCATCAGACTCTATTATTATATTATCACTTACTTGGGAATAATTAATACGTGCGGCAATATCCTTGATACTCAAGTCAGCTGACACCTTGTCAATTTTTTTTATCTTTATAACAAATTAATTATAATAAAAAATTACTTTAACAATTTTTCACTGATATTTTTTTTTTCACGTGGAATTTTTTTATTAAATTCTTTTTTGTAATAATTCGATGACTATAAAAATTTCTAATGTCAGTTTACTTCAGTGTCTTCAATTTATGATACTGAAGTTAGCTGAGAACTGTCAATTTTTTTAGCAAATCAATTAGAATACAAAAATGACTTGAAAAAATTTTCACTAATAATTTTTTTATAATTTTCACATGTGGAATTTTTTTATAATAATTTTATTAATAAGAATTAATTTAGTAGATATTTAATAATTTTTATGATTTTTTTAACAAATAAATTATGGCAAAAAAAAAAAGAAAATAAGAAAAAAAATTGACATGTAGAAATTTTTAAAAGTTTTAAATGCAATTTATTAAAAATAATTTTTCAGAAACAATTTATTTGTTAAATAAAATTTAAAAATTATCAAGCGACTGCTAACTTTAAAGTCATATTTTATAAATGTAAAATTATAAAAAAATGTCTGTCAGTTAACTTCAATATTCTCCAATTAAATGATTCTGAAGTTAGCTGACATCTGTCAATTTTTTTAATAACTAAATTTCTATGAAAAAATTAAAACTGCAAATTTTTTAAAAATAATTTTTTTTTTTGAAAAATTGATTTTTTCTAAAAATCAAAAAATTTGTCAAATGTCAGCTGATTTGAATATTCTCATATTATGATCCTGAAGTTAGCTGACAACTGTCAATCTTTTGAATTTTTTAAACTAAATTTCTATAAAAAATTAAAAAAAAAATATGACATTAAAGTTTGCAGTCACTTTACCATTTTTTAATTTTTTTGACAAACAAATTTGTTCAAAAAAAATAATTTTCAAATGTCAATTTTTTCTGTGACATTTTTTTTGTCATAATTTGTTTGTTAATTAATGAAAATAAAGTTTGCCAACATTTAAAAATTTTTTGTTTGTTGATAAAATTTCAATTAAACAATTAAAAAAAAAATTGTCACATGTAAAAAACTTGAAAAACTATAAGTGCAATTTTTTATAAATATTTTTTTAGCTGTAATTTAATTAATAAAAAAAATCAAAAATTTTTAGACGTCTGCTAACTTCCGTGTCATTAAAATTATCAAATATCTGCTAAGGTTAATTTTCATTAAAAAAAATTCAAGAAATAAAAATAAAAAAAAATTTTCAAATGTCAGCTGATTTGGATATTATCATATTTCTAATTTTAAAACGTCAACGACCTGTCATTTGAAGAACACAAATAATTTATAGGTTATACTTACAAAATTATGTACGATAGTATTTATGAAACCATGTATATGTATTTGTACTGGGTGGGTATCGGTTGTGGTCAATTTAACGGTCTAATGAACTAAAGAGTTATAATAATAGTATTAAATCATTAAGTTTAAAGAGCGATTAATGTCGACTATAATCTTAACAATAGTTTTATCAACTTTTTCTTCCGAGTATGAACATCCGATAATTACACGTACACATTTACAGTATTAAAGTTTTTAATGGAAGAAATAATAATTTAAAAAACATTTTAATGAGTAGAAAATTTAAATAATAATAATAATTCAGTATTTGATAATTATTACATAAGATAAATATTATTATTAATAAGTGTATATTTTTTGTTCAGTATTTTCTGGAGATTTCTAATGTATGGAAACTGCCAAGCCAAGCTGAATTACCCAAATTTTTTACTCCTCAATAATTAGCGTAAGATTAGCAAACTAATATTATTATTATTGATTTGGTTTAATCAATAAGTAAAAATACAGAGATGAATAATAAATATGGGATTAAAAGCTCTGTTAATTATTAATTTTCTTGGTTGAGGAGAATTTTTATTTAATTACTATTCATTATTTATATATATTTATAAAAGGTTAAAATCGATTGCCAGAGTCGGAAAACGTTAATAAATATTGAATTATCATTAGCGAGCTTTAATTTAATTTTAAAAAATATATAATGTACTGCGCATAGAATTATTTACCATGTATAACTTAATAATTTGTATTATGCTTATCAGTAAAGAAAAAAAAAAAAAAAAAAAAAAAAAAAAAAAAAA